AGAAACAGTTAATGGATGCTGATTCTGTATTTCCTTGGATACATTCTGTATTTGAAGATCTGCAAGATAGATTACATTCTTCCCGGATACTTTCATCTTCTAACGAATGAACAAGTCGTGGAAGATTAGCAAGAAGCAAATATAAATATCGTCCTGGAGTAGGATCTATTAGTTGGGCATCTTGTATAAATAGTAATTTTTTAAGCATATCGAACGTTTTTTGACATGCTGTTGATGAACCAATCCCTTTCATTAATAAAGGCTGAACTCCATTAAATGGCCTAAGCCACTTCTCTGGGAAGAAACTCCAAAATATTTCGTGATTTTCCTCATCATTAACATTGTATTTATCCAAAATTTTCTCCAGAATAGATAATGCTTCCAGATATTCTGGCTCATTTGTAGTTTGAAGACATGCGATAATTGCCCATAATAATTGTGGAAATATTTCTTTAGTATCTGGTTCACGTCCATCAACTACGTGACTAATTGTTATTAAAATTTCCAAAGCGAATCCTTGAATATCCTCTGAATTATCTGATATAGTGTTAGATAACCTTGCAAGTACAGCTGCGAGCATATTCAAGTTGAATCCAGGATTTAATGAACGAAATATTTGAAAAGATCGGCACGCTATATGACGAACAGGACACGATGTTGCCCATGTTAGTGCTATTTCTCCCCAATATTGTTTTAGGTCCTCGCTATTGGTCTCTCCATATAAAGAAACACCAAATATAGTCACTACATCTCTGGCTAATTTTTCCAAATCCGATAAACTTTTAATATTTCGATTAGAATATGTTATATCTTCGTATGCCCATAATTGTGACTCTTTTGCTTTTAACTCTGCAACCAAGGAATGACCAAGTTTAATAACTTCGGGATAAACTGACTTGCAAAGGATAATTGAATGAATTAAATTCACCAAGAGTGCTTTAGTCTCTTCGCTTATAAGCGGATTAGGTGAATCCAATTGTACAAACAAAACATGGAATAGCTTTGGAAGGTGAAACTCAAAAACAGGCCCAGCTTCTATTGCCATGTCAACCATATATAACATTGCTAATTGACCAGATGAAAATACAGGCTTCTTATTATGTTGTGGCATTGCCTCCTCAATTTTAGCAAGAAACATTCCATTAAGATTATAATCCTCACGTTCTATAGTTTCTTTTGGCTGAGGGGTCATAGATTTCGGAGTAATTTCTTTGATCAGTGTTTCGATAACTGCCGCACAGGTAGGTGTACGTCCAAGGTAAACAAAAACTCGTTTCGCGTGAAAAACAAAGATCGGATTCCGTTTTTCTAACCCAACATCAATTAAGAACTTGACTATTGAACGAATATTACGAGCATGTTCTCCCATAACTAACTGTTGCCAAAGTTTCTCGATTTCTCTGACGAATATATCACCGTATTTCACAGTTATGAAAAAAAGATTGGATATCATTATAAAAGTTGTCGGGTGCAACTCTCCTTTATCAGTAAAACGTAATTCAATATTCCGAACCCATGGTGCTAAGTAACGAAGCATTTCTTTCTTGCCTTTTTCTGGAATACTCTCAAATCTCATTGATGACTCTGATAACATATAATGAGTTTCCTCATGAATATCAGAATCATCGTCATTTTTATTTGCACTGCGTTTTTCCTCATCTCTTTTTCGAGCATTTTGTGCAAGACGAGTTGATAATGCAATTTGTGCTTGCTTATATATAGAAGATAGTTGACTAGTAATTCCGACTTTAAATTCATCAGTACAACTCTCTTTATAGAATCTTGTTTCTATAATATTTAGTAACTTTAGAGCATTTTGACGGACCTCTAAGTCAGCATCACCGGTTTTGAACAAAGCCAAAGCCAGCACACTGCATGGCTGATCATTTTGAAAAGGGTAGTCTTTGTTTTCAAAGAAAACCTCGGCTAATGCTAAAAAATATCCTTGAGTGCTTTTACTAGCTGGGTTTCCTGAATAGCATTCTCGAATAGGAACTTCAAGAAAATTCGGTGTGTTCGAATTAGAAATCAATACACCTTTAAGCGCTTTCCTATTATTTTATTTACTATTATGAATATTTTAATGAAAGATGAAATAAAAATAAAATAATGATTAGATTTTAAACTGACCTTGCAATTGGATGTAATCTATCTTGCAGATCTTCAAATACAGAATGTATCCAAGGAAATACAGAATCAGCATCCATTAACTGTTTCT